TCGAAGTGACTCTCCGGCCTACGAAATTGGGCATACCTGATTTCGACCGTATACAAACCTATTACATGTGCTTCTCTTTTTAGTGTTGTACTACTGTAATCCTCTTTGATTAATCTATACCTTTTTCTGTACCTAAATTGAATTGCAAATATGCGCGGTCGAGGAAGCTCGTTGTTTTGTACTGCAATATAAAGGGAAGCCGCGTTGCTATTTCCTCCTTTTTTTCCTCTTTTGGATTCAAAAGCATAATACGACACACCTTCTTCCCCATTCTTTATGTTTCCCAATACATAAATATAACTAAAATCTTTAAAAAAGAAATTCCACTAAAGTCAATACCTATAATCTTCAAAAAGAAATTCCACTACAGTGGATACCTATATTAAGAAATCAAATTCTCAATAACAAATGACGCCAAATAGTTCGGTGCTCCCAAATTCAACGTTTCATACTTCATGCTAACAAGAATATAATTGCAAATCCCAATTTTAAAACAATATTACACTTGAAGCTGCAATAATTAAAGATACTACATGTATTATATTAGTATACCAATCAGCATTACATTTTACTATTCAACATCAATTGACCATGTTTCAGAATCAATCTCACTCCTTCTTGTTGTCTCTTCTTCTTCCTCTGTTTTTCTGCTTCGTCAAATCCAATGCAAATGATGATGCTCCGTCTTATGCATATTGTCCTAAATTCAACTGCAATGGAGTTGAAGTTTCATATCCTTTCTGGAGGCTTGACAATTACAACGCAACCGCTCCTCAGTACTGTGGTTACCCTGGATTTGGCATCAACTGTTCCGTTTCTCATTCTCAACCATTTCCTATTCTTCACCTTCCGGGTGATGATTTCTACGTTAGAAATATTGATTATGAAACCAATTCTCTCACTCTAGTGGACATTGATGTTTTCGACGTTCCATGTCCCAGAGCACGTCACAACCTTACATTGGAAAAATTGCCGTTGGAATATTCCGATTCCGATCTGAAACTTACGTTTTATTTCAATTGTACAAAATCTCTACCTCAAGCTTATCCCGCGGAGTGCTTAATAAAATCAGGTGGAAAAGCATCTTATTTCTATGTTGGGGAAATTAGCGAGCCGGAAGATTTGAACTGGTTTAGGGTTTGTGAGGAGAAAGTGGTGGCGACGGTGACGGAGAGGGGAAGATTCCAGAACGATGATTGGATTGGAGGATTTGGTGGGGCCATGGGTGAGTGTTTCGTGCTAGACTGGCGGAGCGCGTCGGAGTGCGGCAAGTGTGAGGACTCACACGGGCGGTGTGGTTTCAACAATTCAACCCAGAATCTTTTGTGCTTTTGCAAAGATGGTACCGTTAAGTTTGATCATTGCAAAGGTACGCCCAACTTTATTTTTATCAACTTCAGTAATAGTACTTTTTATCTTGCATTTAGAAAATTGGCGTTTAATTTTCGTATTTTGCTGCTTAAAATCTAGCTTATAGTCCATTGATCGTTAAACTCTTTGTTGGTTTACAATCACATCTTTTTTTTAATTGCACCCTCACCAATAACGTGATAGTTCAGGCAGTCAACCAACTTAGCTAGTATTAAAATTCTCCATTTATAGTCAAATCGAATGTCGAGTTTATATATGCATGATTTCGGTTTATTCACCTAATTTTCGAAACTCACTGGATTGATTAACTACACAAAATTCACTAAAAGGGGAAGCATCTCCAAAGAGAGATTTTTCCGCTCCAAAATATTTACCAAAAAGTGAAAAGATCACATCTATCCCACCACGTTCCTTGATTTTAAATCGGCAAGTACTGATACTAAATCAATCCTTTAAACCTGGCTTAAAGGCTGGTTAGTCAATAGGGGTTCCACAAACCCATAAAAAAGAACAATCACGGTCCGTCCTGCACAAGAGTATTGATGTAAAGGTTAGCTTATATAACTTATTTTTCCCAACTACTATTTTAAAATGTTATCAATCCAAAAAAGTCCAATCTTCTGATTTTTTGGCTTACGCGTTTACTCATTTTCTTTATCTTATTCTATACGCCAATCGTATCAGGTTTCGTTGAATAGCTGATGTTAGGATTTGACTCTTAACATTATGCCATTTCTGTTCTCTACCTACTCTGAATTCAAACGAATCGGAGCACAACTTTGCCTTGCCTAGCCTCTCAGCAATTTATTGTGAAAATAGGACGTACTAGTCAGTTTTAGCACTAGTAATTAAAAAAAGGTCAGTATTTACAAAATCATTGAAAAATAACCACTATTTTGCTGCAACACAGAAGTTTCAGCATAATATACTGGAGATTGTGCACCTATGTATGAACTCCACCATACGGAAAGTTCCAGCATAATATACTGGAGATTAAAGCACCTGTGTATGAATTTCCAGCATATTATACTGGAAGTCCAGTATTATACTGGAAATATATTATGCTGGAACTCCAGTAAATTATGCTGGAAGTTCAGTATATTATGCTGGAAATTCACATGTAAAAAATTCAAACTCCAGTATATTATGCTGGAATATTTTCCGGATTTTGAATAGTGTTTCGTTCAGATTTATCTTTACATGAAAAGTGGCTAAATTTTGATTACTTTTGAAACTGTGACTATTTTTCAATTACCACTTATAAATCTGGCTATTTTTGAATTTCACCCTAGTGCGTCTAAAATCTGAAACCGGGTTGAATACTCCACAAAGAGAGCCCAAAATGAGTAAAAATAGCACGGGCTGGCCAGTTTTCGGACTGGTCATTCAAAAATAGCCAGTGTTTGCCAAGTCATTGAAAAATAACCACTATTTTGCTGCAACAGAGACCGCCAGCATAATATACTGGAGTTCGGTGCACCTGTGCATGAACTTCCAGCATATTATGCTGGAACTCCAACACACGGAAAGTTCCAGCATAATATACTGGAGATTCGAGCACTTGTGTATGAACTTCCAACATATTATACTGGACGGGTATACTTTGCTGGAACTCCAGTATATTTTACTGAAGTTCTAGTGTACTTATGCTGGAACACCATCATATTATGCTGAAGTTCCAGTATGCTTATCCTGGAACTCCAGTATAATATGCTGGAGTTCAAGTATAGTTATGCTGGAACTAAAGCATAATATACTCGGGGTTTGAACAGTATTTTCGCTCAGATTTATCTTTACATGAAAAGTGGCTAAATTTCGATTACTTTTGAAAGCGTGGCTATTTTTGAATGACCAATTGTAAATCTGGCTATTTTTGAATTTCTCCACCAAAATGAACCTAGTAGGCAGTATAGCTAAAAGGCCCATTAAAGGTTGGCCTAGCCCAACTGTTTTTGGCCATACACATTTTTTGCTTTTCTCCGGAAAATATTTTCAAAACCCTGTTTGTCCATGAATATTTATAAGTTTTTGCAGATTTTTTCGAAAATAATATTTTCAAAAACCAAAAATTTCAAGTTTTCCGGAAGACTTTAACCTTTTTTCAAATAAAATTTTAAATTCCAAATAAAAAATTCTACGTCGAAAACTTTTTTGGCATCTATTGCCAAATGCCTACTTAGTTTCGACAATAGGAATCGTAGGAAATGAGTGACCTTTTGATACCTATGATGTTTCTTTTCTGTTCTTTTGGAATTTTTTCTCTTTTCCACGTTATTGGAATACGTAACAAACTGGTTTATATTCTGCGTTGAAATAAGTAAATTCTGCTTGTTTCGTAAACACTCCACCACTCCGTATGAGTCCTAATTTAGATGACCACAGCCATTTGACAAAGACAATGGAAGATGAGATCTTTATAAGCGGGACGTCCTACGAGGGACGACAGATAGCGGATAGAGGACGAATAGTTGTCGCAGCAATCAGAGGCGGATCTAGAGTTTCTTGAACATGGGTGTAACACTAAAAAAAATAGAGGGAAAAAAAGTGCTAAGTGGAAATTGATCCCTATTTCTTTGAGTAAATAATTAAGTATTGAACCAAATGCACCATTCGACCTTTATGGAGCATAGGTGCCAATACAATACTGGATCAACTCTAAAAAATACGTGCATAAAATACCTAGTTTGACGGAGGGGTCATGGGTTCACGTGCCCTATAATGTGAGCTATAGATTCGCCCCTGGCAGCCCTTATATATAGTGGAGAAAATACCTAGTAGAGGGATCTTCTTCAGTTTTTTGGGCCTTTTCAGTTGAAAGCAAAACTTGTAAACTCCCTCCTATATTTAAGATTGTCATTCTCACTGTACAATTACCGCCTTTTTCATAAGATCAACAAATACTTTCCATCATGTTTATTACTTGTGTCTTATGTTCTAGAGCTTATTATGCTTAGCTAAGATTTACCCCTTCATTTTCTTTGATTGATTTGTTCAATAAGATTCCAATATCTTTTGAATCAAACACACTCCAATCTAGATATTATTCTTTCACGACCTAGTTCAGGTAGCTATTCTTTTCTGAAAGTTTCTTTTTAGGGACAGATCCCTTAAAAGTAGGGAAGAAAATTAGAAAAGAGGAGAACATTTTGCGAATTCAAACATTACATTTAAGTGATACAGGGCGACCCAAAAGAAAATTCGAAAAAAAGCCCTCTTGGTAGACGAGACTCGGGTTCTAAAAAACCATCTCCTTTTTGATTATCTCCTATTATTCCGCTAAGATGTAGATTCTATCTAGGAGTGGCAAACGGGCAGGTCGGGTCGGATATGGTTCGGATCAAAAACGGGTAATGAAAAAACTGATAAATTATCCGATCCGATCCATATTTGATACGGATGAAAAATGGGTTAATCGGCGGATAACATGAGTAACCATATTATCTATGACTTCTTGTATGATCACTTTTAGGAGAATTCTTAGTCTCCCTAACTTGAGGAACCCCCAATTTGAGGCTTTACAAATATAAAAGTTAGACCTATTGGTTATCCATTTTCAAAATGAATAATATGGTTCTTATCCATATTTGACCCGTTTTTAAAGTGTTCATTATCCAACCCATTTTTTAGTGGATGATATGGATGGTTAACTATTTTCTTTTAACCATTTTGCCATCCCTAATTCTGACATCAGCTGGACTGAAAATACCCATTAGGTTCACATGGCACCCCAAAAACAAAAAACAAAAAGAATCTTAATAATATAGACATTAGACAATGGTAGGTGCAGTCAACTCATGAATAGAGACTTTGGAATTTTATATTCCATGCTAAGAGGGAATTTTCAAAGGCATACGTTTTTTTTTCCTGTCCACATTAGTATTGCCGCCCCTTTTCCTATTTTTTTATTTTTTTATTTTAAATTAGCTTTATCATCTAGAGCTGCATTTACAGTCTCGGAGGAAAGTTTCAAGGCTATTGCATGGAAAGCTACCAATAAGACTGGCGTAAAATATCTTTGCCTTTTTATTCGTTTGAAATTTCTCCTTCTGGTTGTGAACAAGAACCTTACTTTCGTCCAATCCTCTTAAGTTGAAAGCGAACTTTCTACAATAATCACTGGAAAAGTCATAAAAGGAGCGGCCATTTCTTTGTTTACCATAATAGTACTCAAGTATGACATTTTTTGTTAGTCAAAACTGGATTAACTTTGACTCTTGGACATTTCAATTGAATCATATATTTTACGTAACTTCTCCAATATCAAAGTATTCCTCCAGCCAACCAAATCTATCATTGATGAGTTCTCACAAATGCATGCTCAAAGCTTCCCTCTTCCTCTGCTCCATTCCGTCATCACCTTCATATTCTTCTTGATCACTTCCTCACTATCTTATGGCCAAGAAAATAAACAGCTTACCACCTGTAAGAGCTCCTATAGCTGTGGGAATATTCAGAAGATCAGCTTCCCTTTCTGGGGTGGTGATCGACCTCAAGAATGTGGTCTTCCACAATTCGAGCTTGAATGTGAAGCCAACCATAATCCCGTTATGAAGATTGACAATCATGATTTCCGCGTACTTGACATCAATGAAGAAAAGCAAACCATGAGAATTGCACGTAAAGATCTTGAAGAAGACATTTGTCCTGATAGATTTGGTAACACTACCTTGAATGATTCTCTTTTCCGCTATGGTCCGGACTTGCGAGTTTTCGTCATGTTCTATGCTTGTCCTTTTAATATACCTTCAGAATGGAAAAAGTTCTCCTTTAGCTGCAATATCAATGGAAACTCCAGTCTTGGTTTCTATCCAGATGAGTCATTTTCATCATTCTGGGGCCCAAAGTACCCGAATTGTGAGCATAAGGTCATGGTTCCTGTTGTGATGAAGGCATTTGAGCAGTTCAAGAACGAAGGAAGTACGAAGATATTGGAGCTATTGAAGCAAGGGTTTGATGTGGTGTATAAAAAAAGCACAGAATGTATAGTTTGTGAGAAGTCAGGCGGGTTATGTTGGTCAGAGACAAATCTTACGGAGCCAACGTGCCTTTGTAGGGATCGAACTTATTCCTATTACTGTGGTTATGGAACAGATCAAGGTGCGTTCCATCTCCCTAATCTAACTTTACTCTGTTTGCCAAAATTAGTTGAATCTAACTGGTTGCCCATAGTCTTCAACTGTCAAATAAGCTCCAGAAAGGGAGAATAGGCTGGCATATGGTCGAGTATTTTGGCCCAGACAGACATATTTAAATTGAATAGTCCATTCAAAATATTTTTCCCCATATTTTGGTGGGAAACTTCCAATTCGTTTCACGCCTTTCTAATTTATTTCATCCCTTGTAACATTTGTTGGGCATTTTTTATCAAGTTTGTGAAGCCCAAACAATAAAATATAGTTACAGATTTCCCAGCACAAGCCATTTTTGCTGATGCCTGTTCTGAGATCTAGTAGTATTAGACGGCAGCAAGTTTTGTTTTAGCCTCACCCAGCGAGATAGGGATATCAAAATTGGTGAATGGTGGAGTTGACAATACATCTATAGAAAGAGAAATTCACCTATGATATGTGATAGAATTGCCAGGAAAAAGAACAGATTGAAGTTGATTAACTCATATATTCTTGAAAAAGGTCTCTATCAGGGTATTCTTTTAGCTCGTTCCTAAAGCGCATGTAGACGCGATGACTGAATAAAACAACTTCTACCCTCTCTGTTTCCACGCTTTCGCCTACCAAGCAGAGATTTGAATACTTCATGAATTCCCTGTCCTTTCTACTTATTCTTTTCTATATCGTAATTGAAATGTCTAAGCTTTTGGCTCCATCTCGACTCTTTGACTCTCTTAGCCAGTAGGTGGTGAAGTTGGACATTTAACCTTAGTAAGAAACGCAACTTTTTCTCACTTTTTCATCCGAATTTCTATATATTCTATCATTTTAACCTGACTTAGGATTCAGGCTTTTCTAAGTATTGTTTTTACAACAGTTGTTTTCCATGTTTCCTTCTATTATCTGTTTTGCTTGTTAAGTTTCCTCCATTAATACACTAAGGAGGGGATAGATCATAAAAGACACAGAAATCTGATGAAGCATTTGTGCCCAACCTCGGGAGCCTCCATTTAGCCTAGGTCCAACAACATCTTTCTCTTATGACTGTACCCAATCTTGTGAAAGGGAAACATATGTTGTAAATTGCCAGTAATGCTATCATCAATCATTCTTTTCCGGTTTTTCATAGTGAGTTTCTAGAGCACTATAACTATGCAGTAGAATCATGTCAGCACCCTGTTTATGCGAAAATGAATTACCCACAACTTCTGCAAAAGAGAGGCTAAAATGTCGAGATTGCTTGAATAGCATAGAGCAATGTGGTGCTCGAATAACGAATCTAAACTCAAAGCAGAACACGTCATGTTTAATCTAGAAACTTAAAAGTCCAATTCCACGTTTGACTATGTAATCCATAACGGAGTACAAAAATAACCACCTTATTCCTTCATAGATAAGAAACAATAAGGTGATAGCAGTTGATTTATTATACCACTGGAGATTCTTTATTGTGTTTCTGTATCATTTCATCACTTTTTTATGTCTGCGTTACAGGCAATAAAAGAGATATCAGAGTGAAGGCTGCCGTAGGTAACTGTCCTTTGACCTTGTTCATCTTGTTATTGTCCTTCTCTTCAACAACGATCCCGAACTTCCTGGTCACATATTTCTCTCTTTCAGGTGCAAGTGCAACTGCATTAACTGCCTTTGTGGCATGTGTAATTTTCTTTCTCTATCGTCGACAGAAGAAAAGTGACGCTGGTTCGTCTTTGATCTCCAGTAGCATCCTTTCTTATCCCTCCTCAATAACGGACCCTGAAAAGGCTTCACACTATTTCGGAATTCACGTATTTGACTACAATGAACTGCAAGAAGCCACAAGCAATTTTGATTCCAAAAAAGAGCTAGGAGAAGGTGGCTTTGGCACAGTATACAAAGGTAATAGAATTATCTTGAAGTGATCTTCTTTTCACCACCAACCTGCTACTAAACCTAAATTTTTTATCTGACCATCTGGTTATACATGATATGTTACAGGTAAACTTCGAGATGGACGTGTTGTTGCTGTAAAACGTTTATATGAGAACAACTACAAGAGGGTTGAGCAATTCCGCAATGAAGTTGAACTCCTCACACGCTTGCACCATCGAAATCTAGTTACCCTTTACGGATGCACATCTCGCCATAGCCGCGAGCTTCTTCTGGTGTATGAATATATTCCCAATGGCACAGTTGCTGATCATCTTCATGGAGAACACACTAAGCCTGGATCACTTTCATGGATTACACGAATGAGCATAGCCATAGAAACCGCAAGCGCACTAGCCTATCTCCATAATTCAGATGTCATTCACAGAGATGTAAAAACTAACAATATCCTCCTAGACAATAATTTCTGCGTCAAAGTAGCAGATTTTGGCTTGTCTCGGCTTTTCCCAACTGATGCTACTCACGTCTCAACAGCTCCACAGGGCACCCCTGGATATGTTGATCCCCAGTATCACGAATGCTATCAACTCACCAGTAAAAGTGATGTTTATAGTTTCGGGGTAGTACTAATCGAGCTTATATCCTCCCTACCAGCTGTTGATATCTCTAGGCATCGATACGAAATAAATCTGTCAAATATGGCTATTAACAAGATTCAGAGCAATGCACTGCATGAGTTGGTTGATCCAAGTCTTGGTTTTGATTCCAATGAGAAGGTAAAGTTGATGATCACCGCCGTGGCAGAATTGGCTTTCCAGTGTTTACAGAATGACAGGGATTTGAGACCATCCATGCAAGAGGTTTTGAAGTCTCTACTGGGAATTCAGAGTATGGACAAAACTGCAGGAGAAACAGATCAGAAAGCAAGTCCTGGTGATGATTCTGGGCTGTTGAAGAATAACGCTTTATCTCTCTCACCTGATTCAGTTATTGCAAAGTGGACTAGCAGTAGCAGGTCAAGAACATCTAATTCCAGTACTGGCTAAGTTTATGCCCTCAGCTTGTCTATTTTGTGGTTTTCTTGATGGTGATTCTTGAGCACCTGCTCTATTGGTTGCCAAAACCTGAAATTTTTGCGTCTTTCTTTTATTAATTTGGACCAATTTTATCTTAACAGGGATGTACATATCTCGTATGCAGCATTTCACATTTAACAATCCTAATTCAATTCATTTCTTAAATTCGTTAAGGAAATGGTATAGATACTTCTTAATTGGTTATTTTTGCCATAGCAGATTATGAGTGAGTTTTACCAGGATGATTAATCAGAGTACATTTTGTGTCCGGGGTAGCAAGATATTGATGTTGACTATATTGATCAGAGTACATTAAGCTGCAAAATTGTCCATTAAAGTGAGCTACTACAAAAGACGGAGTTAGGAAATTGTCAGTGAACTATATGAAAGGTCCATTCATGCCGGTGAACTATACATTGGAGAAATTCAAAAATAGCCAGATTTACCACTGGTCGTTGAAAAATAGCCAAGTTTCAAAAGTCATTGAAATTTAGCCACTTTAAATCTGAGCGAAAACACTGTTCAAAATCCGGAAAAATACGCCCGCAAAATTTTACGGGAGTTCCAGCATAAGTATGCTGGAACTCCCGCAAATTTTACGGGAGTTCAAGCATACTTATGCTGGAACTCCCGCAAATTTTACGGGAGTTCCAACAAGTTTAATTGTCCAGTATAATATACTGGAGTTTGGAGCACTGGTGCTCCAGTCTCCCGTAAATTTTACAGGAGTTAGCAAAGTATACCGGTCCAGCATAATATGCTGGAGTTCATACACAAATGCACCAGAACTCCCGTATATTATACTGGACCGGTCCCTGTTGCAGCAAAATAGTGGCTATTTTTCATTGACTTGATAAACGCTGGCTATTTTTCATTGACCTGTGTGAAAACTGACTATACCATGATATTTTAACCATTTTTTCTGTCTCTGTCGTGATTTTTCTATACATATTCGTTAAGAAAAATTGATTAGGATGGAATTTTAACTACTTCATCCTTATTTTTACATTAATATTTAATTTTTTTTTATTGGTATTTGGATAAATATCCATAATTGAGGCGTTTGTAATATTCAAAAATAATTATTACTAACAGAATAATTGAGATGTTTGTAATATCAACATGGGACAATCGGTGACAAAAATTCAAGAACATCCTGCTTTTAGGGCTATTTAGATAGTTTAACCCTCGGTGATGAGGTTTGGATCTTGGAGCATTTTTATGCATGCCCACTTTTAGGCCACCATTAAAATTACATTCGTATTGTACAAAATTTTGTAAAATGTACCCGCTCAAATATGAAGTAATTTAATCTTTTTAATGTAACTTCAACTTCAGAAATCAAATTTGAAGTTCTTCTATTTTCAAATGCAATTTCAAAAATTCAAATATAAAGTAGTTCAATCTCTTCAATGCAACTTCAGAAATCAAATCTAAAGTTCTTCTATCTTTCAAATGCAACTTCAAAAATTAAATATTAAGTAGTTCAATCTATTAAATGCAACTTCAAATTTCGAATTTTAAGTTCTAAAACATTAACTTATTTTTCGAATTTCAACAATCTAATACAAGATCTAGTGTCTAAATCTACTCCAAATGAGCTTAAATTTGAAACATAACTTTCAATTATCATTAAGAGTAAATCTTAGCCATCAAATTTATCAAAACAATAACAAATTTAACAAACCCATTTACAACTGTGTTGAAGAAAAAGAAACTCTAAGCACAATGAAGAAGAAAACAACAATAAAAAAGAAGAAAAAGTGTATGTATTTGAAAGTATCCAAATATTGAGTATCAGTTGATTTTTTTTATTGGTAAAATAAAAATAATTGGGACACCACATGAGAGACTTGGAACTTGGGGGAAATTAAAAAATAGCCAGAATTACAAATGGTCATTCAAAAATAGTCACACTTTCAAAAGTAATCGAAATTTAGCCACTTTTCATGTAAAGATGAATCTGACCGAGACATTGTTCAAAATCTGAAAAATACTCCAGTATACTATACTGGAGTTCCAGCATAAGTATACTGGAACTCCAGCATATTATACTGAATTTCCAGCATAAGTATACTAGAACTCCAGCATAATATACCAGAGTTCCAGCAAAGTATACCGGTCCAGTATAATATGCTGAAAGTTCATTGTTTACCGTGAAAATGATAATAACAATTAAATTTGATTATGAGGTTTTAAAAATACGTGATCTATTTTTATGCTAGTTGTAAAGCAATGGATGCTAAGTAAAACGTTAGGAATCAAGATTATAGCTTAGAGACGGTTTGATAATTGAACCAAACTGTTAGGAGATCGGGGGGTACTTGAGCTGTCATTTATAAGGCCTCGGGGTCGAACTGGATGGCCGATTTGGAGCAGTCGAGAGGGAGATAACAGTTATGAGATATGATGATGGCTCTTTATAATCAATGATAAAGCAATAAATGAAGAA